ATTTTCTCCTTTCCGAGAGTAATAATTAATTATTATCACTTGTAACGTTTGATAGATACTACATCATGAAAAAAAAAAGATCGCCCAACGTGGGGCTCGAACCCACGACCCTGAGATTAAGAGTCTCATGCTCTACCGACTGAGCTAGCCGGGCGTGTATTTTATCCACTTGCCATTGTTCTTAAATCGAAACATTATTATTAATAATAGGAACATTGAAAATTTGCTTGGATTGTTTTCAACAATTTTACACGATCGTTTCGCTGGAACACGTATCTCTAGATCCGACGCGATGTTTTCTAAGCCGCGGCTGTTGCAGAAATTGAAGGAGTGAAGCGATAATTTAGTGCGCTGAGAAGTTCCTAGAGGGCGCAGAGCTTCGATAATTACAATATACCTATGTATGTATATATTCCTGTACAAGGTCAATGATAAAATTATTGAAAAAGAAACGTTATAAAAATTTCTTTTTAACACAATCCTTATGGAACTGTACTTGATACTGGGAAGTTAACCACTTCTTATTTAGTTACGAAAAATGACATTGTCATAAAGAATTAGGTGGTCACAGATTTTTTTACCTAGATTATGACGGCACGGAAAAAAGCTATGTCAACGATTAAATAAAACTAAAAATTAAGATCAAAGTATACAAACATAGCTTTCAATGCGTTTGGTAATATCTTCTACGCATGTCTGCTATGAGCGTCGATGTTGCTTGTTTTCTTTTGGTTTGTTCGCCGAACCTCCCAATATTTTCTTAAGAGTTAAAGAAAAATTGAAATGTTTTCACAATAAGGAAAAAATTTTTATTTTTTCCACATATTGGTAAATTTTGTTTCCATTTAAGAATTTTGAAGTACTTTAAAATATTAATCATTCAAATGAAATTGGTAAAATTGATAAAAAGTATAAAGCACCATGTACAGCCCCAACTAGATATGACACCAAACGCGGAAGCTACCTTATATTTTGGTATGATTATAATTTAACAGAACACAACACTTTTGCAACGCTTTCAAATACACTGACACGAACACGATTTGGCAATAACGACACGACAAGACAACTTGGAAAGATAACAAAAAGAATCACGCAAAGAACGACGCAATTACTGAACTCTCAGCTACCTTTGTTCGATAACACGGAAATAATACACAATGCGACACTTTTTCCACGCTAAATATAGAATATAATACGCTAAAACTGTAACAACTATTCTACTACTACGCTAATCCACACTGATTCACATTACAATCCACTCTACCGTTTAATCCACACTGTCTCTAATTCTGACTGCTTTGCCACTCGGATCCACTCTGAACTGATCAGTGACTTTCTTTCATTCGACAAAACCCAGGCCCAGGACCAAGTCACTCGCTTCCCTCGTTTTCTCTCTCTCCCACATGCAGCCTTAAAAGTAACAATAACCTCAAGCCTAAACGAAGCAAGCGATACATTCAGATACGTTGGTGCGCGACGTCGCCGTGCAGCGCCTGCAGGCCATCGACGCTTCAAGTGATCCTGCCATAAATTACCTAAACGTAAACGAAAGACTACGCGCTTATACATACATATACAATAAGAAGACTGTAGTCTACAGTCTGTAGGCCTCTCGCATTCTTACATTATAATCCATAGACTTGAACACAGGTTTTGAGCTAATACATGCCGATGCAACAATGCAGGTTTTTAAAGCAATTTTTGTACTTTACGAACCTTTTTATCGAAGGACCAGCTGAGAGGCGTAAGCTCACTAAGTGCCTTTAAGCTACGATCAATTTTTAATGGTAAGCGAAGATGCTTTTACATGGTCTCGTAAGCAGAGTTGGGCAAAATTTTATTCCAATAATACGCAGTGAAAAGCAGCAGTATCTAAGGGTATCATTCTCAGCTTTAAACAGTCAATGAGATTAAATAATTGTTCGACAAAGGTCGATTCATTCATAAAGAAGTATTATTTTATTACAAAAATTGAAATTTTCACGTTTAAACAATTCAAAATGACGAAATACTTTTTTTTATCTTTTATTTGAAACTTTTTATCTAGATAATGAGTTTGCCCATCTCTGCTCGTAAGGAACAACGAAAGCTTAGATTTAGTATAGAGAGTGCTCGAAGTATAGATCGAAGTCTGGTAAACATGTGGGCGTTCAAACGTTGTGTCGTGTGCTTTTCCAGATGCAACGGATCGAGTTGGAAATTTTGCACGCTCGAGTGTACACACAGGTATGTATTTATATACCTGCGATTTTCGGGCAACGTTCATTCGGAAAGTATCTGTACGACCGTGTAGACGCGTAAATGTATCGTCACCTCAGAAGAAAGCTTAATATCCGTAACGTGTTAAATTATATCTGCAAGGTGAAAGTGATTTTAGTTCTGCGAGCCGATATAAAACGTATATGTGGACCCCAGGGTCAGTGACGCGAATGGGAATCTATTAGACATGCGGATTTTCTGTTGAATTCACCTGGGATTATAAGATCCAAGCACGACCATCGTGGTGTGCGCACAGTTCTGATTTATTGACGACAAAATTAATATTGGACAGTTGTTTCAAAGGGTAGAACAGTGGTGGCGCTCGTGTGGTCGTGTGATCGTGTTTGCAGTCGGGTCGATATTGAATGTGTTTGTGCATGTTGCGACACCAATGTTGTCCGATTGATCCTTTCGATTTTACGAGTAATCGTTTACGAATTGTTATATGTATTGAGGCGAGACATGTCGAACATGATAAGAAAATAGTGAAAACGACAAAGAAAATAGTCAAATGAATGACTGACGGAGTTTTTTTTAATACATATGTACGGTCGACAGCGTAGTTCCGTGACTGAACACACACCATTTCCAATGAATGGCATAGAACAGATGGTGATCTAATGCTACCTGTGGATTTCTTTGAAAAGGATATGCGTCCATCCACTTGTCTTTGTCACCCCCTCAACTCCTTGTTATACTTCTTCCATGTAAGTTATGATTCTACATATTTACCAGTTCTTATTTCATTGTCGAACGTTCCGTGTATATCAACCGAAAATATGTAAAAGCATAAGGCTGTGTCATTCCATTCTAACGATGATAAGCGTTCCCTTCGCGATAGTATGTACCATCTGTATACATACATAGTGGTCAATATCCTCACCTGTCACTCGGGAGACTGGGGTTCAATTTCCTGTCGAGAAGTTGAAATATTTTTTAAACTTTATGATGATCGTGAGATCCCTGAAGTGCATAACCTATAATTTTATCTGGCTTTCGAGCAATAGACTACGACTTTCTGGTTGCGTATAGCATTGTACACACACGTGAATATTACTTTTTGCAAATGTAGTTTATAACGCATGCTTTCTTTGAACGGTCGAATTTGATGAAAATAAAAAAAAACACCATCGACGAGGATGGGATTCGAACCCACGCGTGCAGAGCACATTGGATTAGCAGTCCAACGCCTTAACCACTCGGCCACCTCGTCTTCGGATGAGTTTCGATTCAAATATGTAGAACATATTGCGGTAAAAATTCATCGAGTAATTTGGTCTTCATAGATTGATTAAGAATGTCTTGCTGACGGATGATAAGTAATAGTATATTATATGTACATATACTTCAGATAAAAACGATAAGATATACGAATGAACGGAACCGCGATGAGATTTCTACGTGTAACAAGCAATAGCATACAACATACTAAAACGAAAGTATACAGTATATCTAACAGTAACTTTGAAACAAGGAATGACAATTATATCTGTAACACGTTTTTTTTGTTGTTTTATACGGGCGTTTATTTGTACTAACAATTGTGTATACCGTTGACGAATAGACGCAGACGCATACGTACATACATACGCATACAATACAAATTAAGGATGCTCCGTAAACGGGGTGTAGGGTCCGAAAAATCGAAAGGTCTTTATATAATACGTAACTTATTACATATAGTAATATAAAAGCCATATAAAAAAATATTAATATACATAACTTCGTAGATTGAGTCTTAAACAGTAAAGATTATCGATAAACGACAGTAACAACGGGAATTGGGAATATTTTCTCATATATGTACATTAAAAATGAAAAATATCGATTCGCAGTTTAGTATTTACATGCGCTTTAAAAATGCGCGGCATTGTATCGTGTCGCAGGGCACTACGTACTATATACCCCCTTAATCTAAAGAGGAAATAAAATCGTAACTTTGGACGAACCTTTCGTGGAAGCGGGAGATTTGTTCCATAACCGTGAGTAAAAAGAGAAATTAACACGTTGAATGCTGCGGGGGTCACCGCCCAGATAGCACATGACGTCTAATGACGCCTTGAAGACGGCTTAAAGGCGCCTTTAGACCCAAATATGTGACAACCGTCATCATCCGGTATTCAACATGTTAATATTGTACTTTTGTCGTGTTCCACAATTGGACCAGTGGCCTTAAAATTCTGTCGACTGTTCAATTTGTCGATTATAGTAAAGAAAAAGGGTGACGTTTCAAACAACGATACAGTCAGTTACTTTATTGGGTAAAAAAAATAGAAACATTCGGTTGTTCATTATTTGTTCTTATATGCGGACCGAAAACTTGATTTTGTTGGCTGATCGCCAGTTTCCATCCATCCGCATTGCGACCTGTTCGCTATGGTTGCGCATAAGTTCGCGCGCGACGTGTAGTTTCTTCGTCTCATCACCTGTAATGATCCTTTTTAAAAAATCGGCAAACAACATAGGCTGTGCCAACTTCGGACAACGATAACACGAGTACTAACGAATCAACAACAGGGAAAAGAAGGTTATTTGTTAGGTTATACTGCATTCAGTGCCGTTAACCGCATGTTTTTAAGACACTGGGTTTAATGCGTAATTCAAAAAGTTCGGTTACTTTTTGGACAGACCATTAAATTTGATCATACGCGTGTAAACGAACAAAACTGGAACTGTACAAGTAGTTTGTCTAGAATCTCAACTCGAGATCGAAACCAATCGATCCAAGATGAATCGGTTCAACGATCCCCCATCACTAAGAAGCAACGGGAGGGTACTTTCTCCGTAAGCGACGTGGACTCGTCCAAGGTGCCGAGATTCGCTCTCAAAAGTACGTCCGCGATTATTTTCTCAGCGATAATGCCCTGCCGGGGCATCGATTTCCTCAATTTGTTCGCCACGTAACGACCAAACGTGTCGAACTCGTCGTCGGTCACGCAGGCTGCGAACGGTCTCGAAGACGGAACATCGTGAGTCGATTCTTTCGTTGGAAAGCCTTCCTGTTGGTGTTTCTTTTTGAACGTGTCGACACCGGACACAGACGACGAAATTCGCCTCGCGTAGGATCCCTCGGTCTCCAAGATCACCGGTTGAAAGTTCGGGTCTGGGCTAGCTTCCGGGGAAGGTACCGGCGATGGTGGTTCGATCTTGTCTACGTCGGTTTGAATGAACTAAACAAGAAAGAAAAATAAATAGTTGAAAACCAAACAGAATGGCGCTGTTTTATTAAAGGGAACATGAAAGGAAGCAAAATTAAAGAGTGAGCGACGCGCGTTGACCGTTTGTCTCCAACGGAGCGTATCTCTTATCCACCGCAACACGCATCCCGTCTGGTCCCGTCTCGTCCCGCCACGTTTCACCACGTTTGCGTTGGATCACGTCGCACACCACACACCACATGTATGTATCTTCCTTCAGACTGAAATATAGCGCCGAGAGAAGTCGAACATCGTCGCGCATCGTTCCGTTTGAGTTGCGCTCGCAAACGAATCGACGCCACGACGAAAGCATTTTCGCTCGGTTTCCGATTGAAACGTAATTTCCTGCAAACGTAGAGAAGCACGACGAGACCAGGTTTCGGATCGATAAAGGTCTACGAAGAGAGAGTCGGCGAGCGTGAGCGAGAGAGGAAACCGAACGCGCGGTGGAGGCGGCGGTAGTGGTAGTGGGAGAAAGAGAGAAGGGAGGAGATGGAAACGGGCTCGACCGTATATCGAAGATGCATAGTTGACGACGATTCGACCGATGCGCATCGGTTTGGCCGAGTGACCGTGTGCGATTCGGTATATGTTCCTCGATCGGTGACAAACTTTGGGGGGAAAAAAGAATCGTACCATCTGCTCGTGATAGTTCTCCACCGGGATCGGTGGATTCTTGACGAGTTCCTTCTCCTCCTCCATGGCAGTTGGCTCGTTTTGTTCGGCCACGAATTTTAATATGTCGTAGTACCACAACGACGATCTGTACCGTTGCCAAGGATTCTTTACCATTCTCTGGGAGCTTCGCACCTTTTTGTACTCGCGTCTGAAAGCGGTCCGGAGTGTGTTGATCTTCCGTATTACGGTCTCTTTGTCCGCGACCGGATTGACCTCGCGCAATTTCTGCACGAGGGCATCGTAGGCGCGGTTTCGCAGCAACCGGTCCTTGTAACCTTTGTACCTGACCTGCCACAAGCAGGGGAAGCTTCGGTAGAGTTGAATGAACTCCGTGAGGAAGTCGTGCGTGTACCCGACCAGGTCCGGATTCGACATTTCCGGTGTATAGCGGGTTGGGATTCACGGCCGATGAAACGGATCTTGCCGGCACGGGAATGTTCGAAACGACGGACCGCAGTTACAAAACTATGGCGAAGCGTGAATGACCACGCTCGACGACCGACTGAGGAGCCACGAGTCGCGCAACCCGCTTGCTCGAACAGCGATCGTCGTCGGTCGCCAGACGCCGGTCGTGTACATACACGCGTGCCTTTGAGAGCGCGTAGCTACACGTTTGTTCAAACCACCACGTTGCCAGATCTCTCCAATGCCACACGATGTTTGTCCGTGATTGCGCAGCCAACGCTGCTACCGTGGTACCTCTCATGGCCGCCAGTTGAATACCGTTCCTTGTTGCGCGCGACAACCGTGCACCGCGATCGTTCTCCAAGCCGTACAACCTATCTGTAGAGACGGGTAAATTCCATGGGCGTAGCCAGGAGGAAAGAAAGTGGCTTTTGCACTATTCTAGAAGAAAAAAAATTGGATTTTGCCCCCCCCCCCTCCTTCTTTCCGGAGGGAAAAATTGCATTGCCCTCCCCCCTGTATGCCCCGTTCGCTCTCTTTGTCACCGACGAATTTGATTGGAGGGCTTTTCGTGAGCTCCCAAGGATACATATATGTATACGTATCTTGCAAAATGCTTTGTCCCGTCGCGACCGACGAAGCGAATGTCATTCCGACAGGTTTGCGCAAACCAGTCGTCTCGACTCTCGGCAGATCCGTTGGCGGGTCTACGATTCTATGTACCCGGCCATCTAATCGCTCGAGCTCGTTCCACCGACGGCAAATCGATCGAGACAACAGCCGTGTCTACATTTAAGCGCCATCGGCTTGCCACTCTCCGGTTCGAGACGGCCTTGCATCGACATAAACCGGAGTTAAACTCCAGTTTATCCAACGTACAATTCCGTCCGCGTAGTTTACGGCTGTTGATGATACGCATTCTGACCGTATATGAGCACACAACATGGAAGCTCGATGACGTTCCGTTCAATTGGAAATGCTTCTCCCTTCCATCACGTCATGCGCCCGAGTTTGCGCAAACGCCACGCGTTGTTACGTGCTAGGATTCCAGAAACGAACATGTATTCTTTCAACCGCGCGAACACGTTTATATGCCTGAGAAAAGATACATATGACTGGACTCCAGAACGTATTAAGTCAGACTTTTCAAACTTTAAAGGGGAGCAGGATACATTAACCGTATAGTTTTGGAACCGTTCCGTATGAATTTAACGAGAAACAATCGGTATCTTCGAACTATTGAATGGGCTTAAAACAAGTTCTGGATGTGTAGAAATGGTGAACATTGCATTAAGTCCCCTACGTGATGATATTACACTGTTTTGACTCGTAACAAGACATGGACTTGATATCATTTTTGCACTATTATATTAAAAACTAACCAAATTAGAGTAAAATAATTATTACCATCGGAAAGAATGGAAAATTCGGTACAGGAGACATGTAAAATGTCATTTACGGGAAAAAGTGAGGTAGACGATAGGCCTCCTACCACTTGGTTTCGGAAGTTGCTGAAATTTATGTGAAATTAACATTCATTTTAACATTTATTTCCTATACAATTAAATTCCTTCGCTAGAATGGACATTACTGTATCCCTCCATACAATCGTATTCGCGTAGTTACGGTTGCGTCGACGACAAGAAACCTGAGACTGGTCTCATCCATTTCGCTCGAACGACGAGCAACGAGTTGCACACGAGATTGTTTCACTTGTTAAATTGCTCCGAAAAAGATGCCTCTTCTTTTTTCCCTCGTTGTTACGCCCCACCGAACAAATTTTAGTCACAAAGCGGCGAATGGTCGCCGTTCGAGAACAAACTCGTTGACGGAAGTATCGACTCGCACAGTTCGGTGAATACAATCGGGTTTCGTGCACAAGGAGTTGCACGCGATTTTACGAAAGAAGCCCATTTCTCCTGCAATTTTGCCGGGAGCAAAACGTTTGAAAGTTAACTTACTTTGCTCCGCCGCTCGAAGACATCTCCCCTTTCGTGTCCTTTCGAAAAAGGTGTCCTCGTCAAGAAGAATTTCTATCACTTACACTCTATCGAACTTCTATCACTTACATTCGCTTTCACGCCTCCAGTCTCCGCTGTAGAGCAACTCGTTCGTCAGTGGCAGTCGTGTGGATTCCAGACGACGGTGCACGAAACTTGTCCGCCGCGATCTTGAATCCGTGAATTCGTATTGGAACGAATCGAACCGAGGTTCGGGAGAACGTTGCGTCGACGTGATACGTTGGAGCTTCTAGTCGCGAAAAAAGAAGAACAGAGGAAACAATGACTAATGTTGACAATGACAATGAGAATAAGACGAAGAGGAAACAATGTGTTTATGGGAACGGACGCAGTGGTGGAAAGGAATACCACCAAGGGATCGGGGCGAAGGAGAGAAAAGAGTAGGACGATGCTAATCCTCTTTGTATGGAAAAACCAAGTGCATAGTCTGTTGAACGAGCTACGAAGCAGACTTTGAAATAAGCTATTCAACCGGTGCAATATACCGTGCAGCTATAGAGCATCCCGTCTAGACGTCGCGGCTTTTCTATGCGAGGGAAAAGTTACCTCGTTATTTCCCGAATTCCCATGGAAGGCGCAAGCTCGACAGAAAGAAAAAGGAAACCCCGAGACGATGGCGTTCTCCGTTTCTTGAGAATGCGCCAAGTAATCGTTCGATAGATTCCAATCGGCCGATCAAACACGATCGTTGTTCCCACGCGATGATGTATACAGTAAATCCCCGATGTATGTTCGAAGGTTCCTTGGCACTGAACATTAAATATTTCATAAACCGATGGCTAGACTACGGGTTTTATGCATTTGTAGCCTACAGTCTGCAAAATAAATAAAAAACAAAGCTTTGAACAAGCTTTTTAAACCGTTAAGCGCAGCGGACCCTCTTCGATCGTACATAGTGCCGTTGCCCCCGTGAAAATCTATACTGTACCTAATAACCCGGTTTAATTAAATTCTAGGCGGACCGTCTGTCGTTTGTACGATATCCAATAACCGCGACGCGCGAGCGGTTGATAAACACCGAGGAAACTGGTGCAAACTCCGTTTGAACGACTTTATCTCGCCGTGAAACGTACAATACTGGTCTATAGAGTATATGTAGTACCGGAATACACTTCAGTGGTTGCGAAACATCGGTTGAATATGCATCCTGACAGGGCCTTTCTATTGTCTCGACGGCAGACGACGTACCCTCGCGACGCACGAGAATTTATCCAGTCGTGCACTACACGACACTTTCTACAACCAATCCAGTTGACAGACTTTCAATTACACGAGTACATAAATGTTCTGCTCCGAGGGAACTATTAAATCCGCTACGGAAAAAGATGTTCATAGAAGAATCGTTGTAATCCACAACCATAAGTTATTGAAAAAATACCATCGTTTATTTCCTATTAATAAAATTATAATTCTTACAATCCTTAGAAGATAAATTAAATTAACCAAAGAAGGCATCGTGACCGGAGCCCTCTGACGCGCAATTGTGGAGTAACGTTGCTGGATTGGAGGCGTCATCGATACCACCTTGTTCTCTACCGTCAACACCGCCGACGGATTCACCGGCAATCCCTCCTCCACCTGGTCCAGGACCGGGACCAACTCCAGCACCGGTTGTTCCCGGTCCGTTTCCGGTTCTCAAAGGTTTCACATCCTGCGAACTCTCGTACATTCGATTCTGTTGATTCGGGTGGTGATGCGGCTGATTCTGCGAATTGATCTCATTGTAGACGAGCTCTTGGATCTTCAACCTAACGAACATCTGTCGATCGAGCGGCAAACTCTTAAGGGGATTTCTGACGCTCATGAGAAAGTGATAGGTGTCGTCTTCGTCGTCCTGGGACACGCTCAATCTTTTTTGAAGGGATTCGAATCGTTTACGGTCGATTTCCGAATAATCGTTCTCCATCGCGTCTATCAGGGTCCTCTTCCGGCCGATTTTGTTCATTTTAGGCGGTGGCATAACGTGATGCAAAGCGTCGTCGTTGGAGAGCACCGAGTGACAGGAATCGCCGTCCATGTCGTCGAACTGAGTTTCCTCGTGACCTTCGAGAATGTCGATCTGCGGCTCGATTTGCGTACCCTCCGGCGAGGATCGAAGCGCCACCGTACAATTTTGTGAAAGGGTACAACCGATCACCCGGGAATTCATTTGATCTCGCAGGAAGAACAGACTCTTGAACCATACCCACTTGGAGTCGTGCTCGTTCGCGCCGCCGTCACATTTCCCTCGATAAGTTTTCTTCAGTTCGTTGCGGAAATTGTCTCGCAAGTGTTTCCATTTCGATTTTGCGACGTCCGCTGTAAACGAATAATTTATCGTTAATTTTTTAAAAGAATTACGACGGTCAATAGGCAGCGTGAATCGTCTAATTTAACACATTCGCATCCGGCGAAACACTTAGTTGAATACCACGTACAATTTTCAAAAGTCTATTCTGCCATTTGAAAGTATAACGGTTTACAATTCGCGCTTTTAAAACAGTGAACAACTTTAGCTAGGTATTGTACCTATAAACAGAATATTTAACCTAACAAAAATTAAAAATTAAAATTAATGATCATCTTGCTAAAGAGACACGGGTGCTGGATGCTACAGATTTTGAAATCACGTAGAACTACGTTACTGGTACTCAGCGTTAAAGATTTTAAAATGACGTAGGACTACGTTGCCGATGACGAATGTGTTAGTTAGGTATACCAGCTATTGGAAAAGTAAAGCTTCCAGACATAATTTGCATAATCCGTTCTAAAAGGAGCTCCAAGCTCGTCCTCCTATCTATCGATTGTATCCTCCGACCTATCAATTGCTGTGCTTGCACGAACAGTGTATAATACAGGAATTGGATTCGGTGACGATGGGCACGCATGCGCGTTCCATCGATACCGATCGCTTACGGCCGGGATGAACAGCATTTTTCTCGGTTCGATAAGTAATTAACAATCAGTAATTTATCTCGCGATAAAAGAATCGCCGTTCAAGTACCAAGTTTGACAAGGAGCGACCTCGCACGGAATGTCACTCAACCGAGATAATAATTGCAACCGTGCTGCTGTCGATATTCCAGCAGCCTTTTCTTTATCGGGAATAATGCATATGTACGTATGTAGGTACCCTGATAAACAGTTGTTTGCAAGTTTCAAACAAACTGCCAGCAAAAAATGACAAAAGTTTTCTACAAAAACCACAGCCATCTGTTTTCGCATTTGGCTTGGATTTTGCAGACAACGCCTGCTGACAGAACGGTAAAACAAATTGGCAGTAAATCTTGCAACATAACCTGTGTCAAATTGGGGGGCAAAAACGGAACAGAGTCTGCGCGAACTAAATTGCTGCCTATGTTGCTGCCAATGTGCGCGCAAGTTTTTTATAAGCAAATCTTGCATCAAATTTGTATTTCATAACCTTATAACAAGCATTGGACAAAATTTAGTTTTGCAAGTTTGGCTGACAAAGTAGTGGACGAAATCGGCAATCGACGAGTCTCGAATCGACTCTAATCGACTTGATTCAATTGGACTTCACTCGATTCGGTCAAAAGGAGAAGCTCCGATCATCGCTAAGTATGTACATATGGATGTATGTATGTACTTCGAGTCGGCGGTCGATCGATCGAAGGCAGAAAATGAGGGACAGGCGTGTTCGGCGGATGTGTGTTCGTGCGTGTTCCCTGGAAGGAGGGGACGCGTAAAAAGAGAGAGGGAGGAAAAGTAACGAAGGAGAGGGCGAGGGAGTACGAATGAGGGATAGAGACGAGAGAGTGGTGACGCAGGCGCGCATAAACCAGACCGTTGGGAAAGAAGAGAGAAGAGGGACGAGAGAAGAGAGAGAAGAAATAGAAGCGAGAAGCGTGAAGCGAGAAGAGAGGGAATATAGCCGAGGCGTATACTCACTGGAGACCTCGCAAGCCCTCGCGATCTCCCGCCACATCTTCAGGATGACGTCGCGATTGTGGTAGTTGACGTTCTTTTGGTCCCAGATCGCGGGCCTGGCGTGCACCTCCGTGATCAGTCTCTGGAGATCCATCGTCATCGCGTTCCTACGGGCGCTCGCGTTGCATCTCCGGGACGATCGCTTGCTGGCGGCTCGACGGTTGAGAAGCGTGATGCCGGAGCTGATGGAGGAGGCAGCCGCGCGCGAGCCGCTTCCTCCTCTGGACACAATTCGTTGGGACTCGTTGGTGTTGTGCGGGGAGCGATTTTTCGACAGTTTGCTCGGTTCCTCGTTGGGAAACGATGACGACGACGATTCCTCTCCTGGTTGTTGTGGTAGTTGTTGTTGCTGGTGTTGATTTTGCTCGACCGCGAGAATCGCGTCGGTGGTTCCACCACCGGTGCTGGTGCCGCCGTTACCGTTGCCACCGACTCTACCTCCGTTGCCGCCGACGACGACGACAGGCTCGTCTTCGTCGTCGACGTTGCTATTTCGTCGTTGCTGCCGCCTCCTCTTCTTTCTCTTGCGCCTGGCGATACGAGTGTTGCCGGCCGAGGAGGAGCTCGCGAAGCCGAGCCGAGCGGAGGATCGCAGGCGAGACGAATCCAGGGCTTTTTCCTCCTCGACTCGTGCACGCGTGCCGCCGTCCATACACGGCCGGTACACGCGCGCGTCCAGCCGGGGAAGACGCGCACCCGCCTTCTAAACGATCAGCTCGCGGCTCTACGCTCCGACGTTCTCGCTCGTTCCTTTCTCTCGTCCCCGTCACGTCGTTACCGAAAAACGACACCGAGTTGATTATATATTTACTAAGTCGACACCTCCGCACCTTCCCGGCCGCCTGACTTCCTCGCTAGGCTAACGCTACCGTCGCCGAGCCCAAATCCCTGCCTTCCGTCGCTTTTGCCCACGGTTTCAGCTTCGGCTTCGGCCTCGCTCGAGCTTGCGCCTCGGCTCCGCTCGGTTCCGCTCGGCCCGACTCGGCGTCGCGTCGCCTCGCGCGCCACCGCTCGTCACCGCTCGTCACCGCTTGCGATCCAAGACTGGATTCTCCACGCGATCTACGCTGATCCGAAACCGAGATGCCGTTGCGAGACGAGCCTAAAGTAATCACAGTTTCTTAGTTTTTTTTCTTTCTCTGTCCGTTAACTATCGTATTATCCCTCCGCTTCTTTTGGTTTTCGATTCCAGTTTTTCGTACAACGCGATTCAGCCCCCCCAACGGAAACCTACCTGATTTCCCCTGCCCTATTACTCTGCCCTACTACTCTGCCCTACCCTGTCCTACCCTACCCTACTCTCTACCCTCTTTGCTTATGCCTCCTTGTTTCACCCACCGAATCAAATTATCCAACATTTTCCTCCTTTTTCTCCCTTACCGCGCGATCCGATACATGCTTCTGTCAATCCGACGTTTCAATGGCAGTAGAATACCCATGTATAGTTGTCGCGGACGACGGAGGGAATACTAGGTATTAACCTCTGCAAGCGGTACAGTTATAATTTTACTCTGGTTAGCTTGCTTCTGCTGGATCAATGCGAGAACGCAGCGCTGTTTTGACAGTTGCACACTTGCAAGTGTGCCTCGCTGGACAGGCGTATGTATAACTCGACCTTTTTCGGATCCCATCGCGTCGCCTCGCTCGGCTTCGCTCGACTTCACTCGTCCCGGCTCAGCTCAGCTTTTCACGATTCGATTTCGTCGGAAAGCAACCACCTGCGCGCAGCTGGAATAAACGCGTCTTCTACAAACTCCAAGCGTCATTTCGCGAACGGTAAACGCGAAATACCCACGAATATGAACAAACATTCTATTGTAATAATCCCGGTTTTTGTATTTCCTTTTGCAGAATCAGACCTTTCGCGTTACCTTCTATCTACTCAGTCAGCCAAACCTGCAAAGCTAAATTTAGTTCAATGCCTATTATAAAGTTATGGCTAGAAGTTTGATGCAAGATTTGCTATAAACCACTTGCGCGCACACTGGCAACAAAATTGGCTTGCGCAGACTCTGTTCCGTTTTTGCCCCCAATTTGACACAGGTTATGTTGCAAGGCTTGCTGCCAATTTGCTTTACCACATTTGTCAGCTGGCGTTGCCTGCAAAACCCAAGCCAAATGCGGAAAAAAATGGCTATGGTTTTTTTAATATAATTTCAAAGGATACTCTGCCGGACAACACGCATCACCGCAGGACGATCGTCGAAAAGTGCGTTTATTGACGGGGGTTAGAGTACGATTTTACGTCCTTGGCGTGAATGGCCATTAAACAATAAATTTTATCCGACGTTATCGATAACAATATCGTTCTTAGTTTTTCAGCGTCGAATGGTTGTAACTATCTCCTTCTTTTTCCGCATGGACTAGTATATCTCGAGTTAATTATTATTCTATGTACATATCTTGTTACGAGGAATCAACGTTGTAAGTGGTACGACCGGGTGCCCACGGAACCTGTCGGTGTAAGGTAGCGGCGATCGATAACGGAGTGCGACTATAGTTCACCTTCGTGCGGAAGCGGACAATACATAACAGTTTGCTCGCGTGTCGAGCTTTAAACAAACATTCAACCAAGTACGGTGACGCATGACGGATCGTCGTATTCATCGCGTGCGTTGCCGCAGAAATTTAACTTGTATTATTTCTAATGCACCTCCTTCCACCCAATTATTAATTAATTAAGTAAAAATAATTGCGTTACTTGATGGAATGTTCACTCCAGTGCGCGAAACGCAACATGTAAAGGTGCGTCTCCATTATGCCAAACGACAAAACCGAACATATGGGGTTATGTCATCGGCACATGCCAACAAGCCGCGCGGCATAATGGGGACGCAGCTTAATGCCACGAATGTAATGGGTGGAATGCGTTTGTTTTCGATAATTGCGTTACGGTATCATCGAACGGAACATCCCACATGTAAAGGGGGATGTTTGCTGGATCTGCTCGCACGGTCTTTCAGACAGACTCTATCCGAGAGTGTTGCTGTATTCTAAAGATTAACTAGAGCGTTACGTATTCATTCCAATTTAAGTTTCGTAGCCGGCCGGAAATTTCGGACATAATGGAGACCGAGGTTGAAAGTCATAGGGGTGGTAACAAGGTTTATAACTTTGTAAATAAAAGAGAAAGCGCTGTGATAACAAACTAGGATGGATGCTGGGCCAAAACTGTTGCGCCTGGCGCTATAATAGTCGCGACTCATGCTCCTAAATTGACGGGTATTGTGAGGTAACTGCGCAACACGCGACTAAATATTTCTCGATGTTAATTTTTTGGTCTGATTCGTAAATTTGTCCGCTTTATTAGCAATTATTCCTTTTTGTGATCTTAAAAATCAGTCGGTGAAAAAATGCTTCACACCTAGAGCAATAGACGAAGTCACGGGACGATGTTGAAATTCAAACACATGTCAAAGTGATAGATAACAATTCTTTATTGTTAAATTGAACGTCTATGTTTCCCGATGCATACATTCTAGATAGTCAATCGACAGGAATAAAAAAAACACGTTCAAGGAAATGTTAGACGAGAAGGAACTCGATCACAGTCGGTATGTCCTCCAGATTTTCATTGCTGTACTCTGCCATTGGACGATCCGGCCGTGGAATCTTATCGTTGATACGATTCACGAGCGATTGGAAGATAGGTAAACATTGTTGTTCGATCATGTTTATCACGTCGTTTCTGAAACTCTTCACAACACTTTTGAGCACTTGATTTAAAATAGGATCAATCACGTTGCCCTCCAGTTTCACTGTCATTTTTCTGGAACGTAATAAATCAATATTAATCGACAATAAGACCGACGGATGTACACGTATGCCTCATAAATCGAACAATGATTCTTACTCAACGCCGGTAACTCTTAGTGAATCCACAACAAGTTTATAATTCTGCGTGTCCAGCGACAATACAACACGGATCTTCATGTTCTGGAAGCGACCGCGGAACTCACCCTTCCGCGATATCAACGAATATTTCAATAGATAATGGTAGTTCATCTAAAAGATCCGCAATAAAAAGCTTTTAGTTCGTATCGTTTTTCGTTACACCGACACGATATGTTTCGTGAGCGTAGCCTCTTACATCCAGAACTTCGAGATTCAGCATCGCATCCACAGTCAGGCGTCTATCTCCGTAGGATAGAATGGCATTACCGGCGCGCTTTATAACGGACAGCCCTTGCAACCAGCCGTTCGTAAGCTGAAAAACTCCATCGTGGCTGATTATTCCTTTCTGTGCAAACAAAAACACGAAAACATTGCGTGACTCCGACTTACGTTAGTCCACGACTGTCATCCAACTATAGACTACAGATCGTTTCTCCCTAACAGTCATTCGTCGTTTTTCTCCGTTTTCATGACGGACTCTGTATCTGCGCAGATCCCATATTATCATCACCCTCGCCATAAACAATAATAATAAAAATGTTTTTTTTTTTAATTTTTAAGAAAAATTTTATTTTTTGTAACTAAATAAAATATGATTAACTTCTCAGTATCAGCAACAGTTCCATAAGGCTCGTGTTAAAAAGAAATTTTTATAACGTTTCTTTTTCAATAATTTTATCGTTGACCTTGCAATTGTTTGGTAGCAATCGAAAGTGGAAGCTTTTAGGAATGTTCTGCCCAATTTTGAACTAAATTTATAATTATTAACAATTTGTGGGAGCCACCTTAAATACAGATCGGTAGTAAGTGGATGTAAATTTGATAATAATTGATTGCTCAGTTGGAACAACTCGATCGTTACCCGATAGAAGCGTCGAATGAAAGTTCGCGAGAAACCATATATGAAAGAGATACCAGATTATGAGAGAAATCATCCATTTTCAAAGGATCCAATCCCTGTTTCAAAATAAGATCCTGTAACGTGGGCAATATCGAGTCGAGGAGTTCGTCGATGTTCACCGATAACCTGTCATCACCATCGTTATTGGCTCTGGAACGCAAATGAGAAAATAAACACAATTCTACTCAATATTACAGTAATGTCTCGATGAGTGCGACGTGCACTTCGAAGCATTCGAAACGGGGACAGTTCTACAACTTAATGTTTTTACAAGAACACAATATCGTGTCCATCGACTTTAACTACAGGACCGTTAGTGTTTCGTCGAAGAAGTCTCTTTCGCGGCAATATGGATATGCAAAACTTACTCGATATTGGCGGGAAGGGCGAAACTCGCGTCGAGAAGAACCGACGCGACTAGCAGAAATATCAGTCGCATTTGAGCGGCCATGATGTGCGCCGTTGAACAGATGAAACGAGTGATAAATTGCAAACGATCTGACTGCCATTCGCCCGTATTCTCTATTCTTATAGACTCGTTAGTCAATTATCATTGTACGTCTTATCGGATTCTCGATTGAAGGTCGTATTATCGTGTTTATTTGTCGCAAAACCTGTCGTACATAACAATACAAAAATTAAAGGACGATACGCTTCCTGATACGGACTTTTTTGCCAACGAAGATAGACCGAGATTACAGACGATACATCGATTAAATGTTTATCCGCAGCAGGTGTTCTTTTCTGGAACGAATCACGAGGCGATAAACAACTTGAGGGTGTCCCACAGAGGAAGGTCCACCGTGATTTCTTCGAGATATTCTCGCAGCAGCGCTGTCATACGGTTCTCGATTTCCTCTGTCAACGCTCTATTCGCCAACGAGATTCCAACGTTCGTGAGGGGCGTGAATAATCTCTCCGTTAAAGTGCTTCCACGTATAAAAATCGCAAGGGAGCTGCGAAAATGAAAATTCGTGTCGGGGTTAATGGACTTGAATTTTGAAAAAACGACGGACGTTATTTGACCATTTCAAAAAACCGAACGAATCTCGTACTGGATGCGATGCAGTTTAAGCTTCTTCAGAACAAACGTGCAATCAATCGTATCGATGTCGATTCGGACGTTAACCAATATCGAGTTTGCTTCCGCGAGTATCGTTCCGTATTGCCGGAGAAACAACACTTTTACAAAGTAGTCGTAGGACATCTGGAAAAGATTTAAAGCGATAAACACATGCGCTTATCGTGTCGAGTCTAGAAATTGTAAATCTACGATTTTATCAATTACTGGTAATTTGGTAAGATTTCCGAAACCGGTAAAAACGTGGGGGATTACTATAAAATTTTTAAAAATCGAAAGTATTTTTCGCGATTTACCGGTAAGTCGGTTGAGCAATATTATAATCCCTAATCGAATCTCGTTCGATCTGAACAAGACGAACAAGCCATTCGATCTTTAATTACCAGCATACTGTCCATTTCAAGGCTCGCATCGATACTCAAAGTGTTATCTCTGAATGTTCCAATAGCTGTGTCGACGCGTTCCAAATCAGACAGATGATGTAACAGTCCTGAAGAAAAAGAGTACGTTAGCACACCGTACGCCACAGGCAGGCTCGCAAACCGCTGAAACAAAACAAATGAAAACATTTGTGACTCGTATTTTTATTCATGCGTATTCTCGATTCTAGCGATTAGGCCTAAAATAGCCGTAAAATGGACGTCTTTAAGGCATCATGTGCTATCAGGGTCGTCACGCTGCGTCATGTCAATTCGTCTGCCGTTCGGTCATTCAACCCTGGAACTCAGGGACGACTGCCTCACCAGAACGATCCGATCGCGTTCGATTCCCTTCGATTCTTTCTGACCTTGAGCGAAACGCGCGCTTCGTGCTGCCTGTTTTCGAATTCACTAGGTCAAATCAAAACTAGGTCGAAGAAGTAACCGAGATCCAACATTATCCTTTCCTCGATACATGGTCAAATCCCGGAGAGGCACTGTACCGAGATATTTTTGGAAAAATACCGAATCGAGCGACAATATCGGAAACATCGTTATCGCCGTCGACACGGTTCGTTCGACCGTGAACCTAGAGCAAAGATTCTCGTGGAATCCGGTTCAACGACCGTGATTTCATGATCACCGATTCGCTGTCGCTTTCGTTCGAGGTCGAACGCGCGCTATGTGTCTTCACTTTCTTCGATCGGAAGGTAAGTACGTTCGCTTTCGCGCCGCAGCCTAATGACCGCGATCGTCTTCCCTTGACTCGAAGGTATCGTCAAAGAAGCTTTATAAGCAATCTTTTCACGATCGCATTGAATACAGTGATACCTCAATGAATGCGAAACGAGCAACGGCGTTATTCCCACCACTAGAGGAGTAACCCTCTGGAATCAATTAAAACAGAGTAAACAGAAGCCAAGCAGAGGCTCAGCTTCGGGTAAAAAATAAATTTATAAGGTCCTGAAAACTTTTCTGCCTTGCCATAAATGAGACGGTGCCTTGCAATAACCTAGAGCCGACTCGAAAAAGGTTGCACTCATCGAGACGTTACTGTATGTTAAATTTCATGGTACGCAAAGAACTGCCTAACGTAAAATACACTCACGATCGAATAGTTCTGACGAACGTCCGATATTTCCAATGGATCCAGCTCGTACGCAACAATAAGTTTCGACACAAGAGGAAGAAACGTGTTGATTAACTCTGTTAGATCGGTTTGAAGCTCCTCTTCCTCGTCTTCGAATCTGTGTTCCTCGTAGATCGATTCTGCTTGCTCGAAATATTTTGCCACGTACTTTGTACTGTGCTGGCTCGAAACTATAAAAACAGTAGCGACGACACAACAAATGAACATCGCGTCGATCAATGAAAATAATTTCCCTCCCGATGGAGCGCGTCTCGTCATCATTAGAGACGAAAACGGATGCTTTTTAGTGTGCAGCTAACGGTGATATTCCTTTCCTATTCGCGACCGTTTTCAAAGAAACGCTTTTCGCTGACCAAGTCGTCATTTAGTTGAACTCGTTTTAAGCCTGCAATTAACACTCTTATCCGAGAAACCTGGCGGTTTCAAGGAATCGTTATCTAGGAAAACAAGTATATTCGAATGTATGGATGACCGTTAAAAAAACCGACTTTCGGTCGACTTTATCGACAGGGACCAACGCCGTTTATCGCGTGGTGCCCCCACTGGGACGAATTGATAAGTACCACGCGAGCCTAAGTTCTACCACAGACGAGATATAAGAATAGACCTAATATGCAATGTAATTTTCTGTCCCATGCTTCGAGAGCGTCAGAAACCTCCTTACCATTTCAGTGTCAATACCCGATGTTACCGATAAAGCATGAATTTGAGTATTATTAGCACAAATGAAGTGTTATATATTCCATTCATATTGCGTGTATCTATATGATTTGACGGGAATGAAAATATCCGATGCTTCAGTTTAAGGTTAAGGGATAAATATGACAGTCATGAAACATGAAACGGAAAATTATATATTTTTTCACTTAACTACAAGACAATTTATTCTAAATGCATCGTTAATAGACATTTTATTAATGTTACTTTTTACATGTTCTTGTTTTATTCAATTTTATATCTTGCCTTAGATTTGTATATTTATAACAGATAAATTCCGAATAGATGTAGTTTCATAAATAGTTTATCAAATCTACCTTTTGGCCGGCGGCTTACAATTTCCCTTGCGGGAATGTCGTACCGTAATGAGCCATCTCGCAGCTTCCGGGAATCGGGTGACGTCACGGCGTGCGAGCGAGAGCGGTAGAGCGAGCCGCGGTATCGGTGCTCTCCGTCGGTGTTGACGGGTGCCGAGGAATTTCGGTGGTCTATGGGAGGGAGGTGTGCGAGCGAGAGAGTACGGTAGAGCGTGCCGAGTATCGGTGCTCTCCGTCG